TGAAAGAGGGGCTTGGGGAAGAGAATGAGGTGATAGTATGTTAGACACATATAAATGTATAATATGAAGTTGGGTATGTTCATTAGTTCTTCTTGGATGAAGATAAAGATTTCAAAGATAGAAGTGGATAGTCACTGAAGCTCTTACACTAGTATAGCCACTTTCTCAGAGAAAGTACCAAAGGGAATAAAAAGATCTGCATTCTAGGAAGCAACATCAAGGGAACAGGTGGAAGAAATTCCTGCAAATGAGATTGAGAAGCTATAGCTTGGAAAATGGGAAGAAAAGTGGCCTAGGTGATTTTACAAAAGGGAAACAAATCAAACTAAAGTATCAAATGACACAGAAAAAGAGAGTATAACTCTAGCCATTAGACTGTATTGATAGGGAAACAATCTCTGAAAAACCTAATTCTTCTATGTTGATACCTGATCTTAAATAGTGTTGGGAACTGCATTTATTTAGACCAAAGTTTTACAATTCTGGATTTACATTAAAATCACTTGGGAAGCTTTTAAAACTCACCATGCTAAGTCCCTTTTCATATGAATTAAATTAAAAAGTTAGTTGAGAATCACTGATTTATACCTGCAGAATGCTAATGTTGGAGCAAAGCATAGTGTAATCAGTTGAGTATAAACCTGAGTTTTAAATCCTAGCTCAGGTTATTCGGCTTCTTGGTTATTTGACTTTGGACACGTTATTTACCTTACAAAGCCCTAATAGTTTCATTTCAAAATAGAATAATAGGAATATGTGATCACTTACAATACTAAAGTGCTTAGCAGAATGCCAACCTTATACCAAATGCTTAATGTATTTTGAACCATTTTCTTCTGAAAATGTCAGTCCAAATTCCTAAGTTGCCAGTTTTTTATCAGGGAATTTAGGCGCTGGAATTATCTGAATTTCTTCCTTCATCCTCTTTTTTTTTTGTTTAATCATTTTGAAGTACTTATATTTACAAATTGATGATCTGGATTCTATTCAAAGCACATTAACAAAGTCTCACCCTAGAATGGATTTCAAATTGGAATAATAATAGCCAATTTGTTTCAATGCTCACTGGGCATCAGGGACTTCTCTCAGCACTTTATTATAACAATTCTTAGAGACAGGTTCCATTACTATTCTTATTTAATGGATGAGAAAGTGGGAAAGTCAGACTCAAGGAGGATAAATGACTTGATCCAGCATCACCCTTAGAAGCTGGGGCTCTTAACCACCTTGCTCTACTGCCTGCCATACACATGAAAGATTTAGGAAAATAAAAAAAGACAAAGGTAACATAAGGGCACATCCCCCATGGGCACACATCTGCCCTGCCACACTGGGACAGAACTAACATTTTCCTCTGCACTTCCATGAGAAACTGAGTATAGCAAATTTGGGCCTTCTGCCTACTGGTCTGGTATTTTGAATATTTTATCATTTTATTTTCTGGAAGTAATTTGAATCAAAGAATCAAAATACACGTGGAATAGAAGTTCTCTTAAGGGTTTCTAATGTTTGATTCCCGTTAAATTGAGTCAAAATATCTCAACTGGATAATCACAATTTTGTTTTCATAAATGAATCAGGCTTTTAGGGGCAAAAAGTATTGCTGCTCATAATTTTACTTCTCCATTATGAGAGAATGGATTTTTAGTAGAGAGAATTAATAAATACACAACTCTAAATGAAGTATGTGGCCAAGGTTTCTTAGACACGTGCACAGTAATTTTGGCACTATCAAATTTTATTGCTTACTTAATTTGCATTTCTTTTAGGCCAGATTTCTGTTTTTTGCCTGGAAAAGCAAAATTAAGTTTTCTTTCAGAGTTAAAAACAGGTTCTATTGCTTATATCAACTAACAAGATTTATTTAAATAAAAGTGGAGAATTTAAATGAGTGGAGAATAAAAGTTATTTTATCTTTCACCAAAAATATATTTTTTATCAGAACTTGTTTTTGCTTAGACAACTTTTGTTTTATTTTTTCTTCTCAAACTTCCCTGTTGGTTACCATATCCTTATAAGTAACTGCTCATAAGCAAATGAAATATAAACAAATCGAAAGCTACACGAGTACTGACACAGAACCAATGAAAACAGATTATAACACGGAGGGGCAAAGGAGAAAATTGGAATAAGACAACCTCAGTTTTAAAAGGCCTGACACACCGACAGCTAAACATGTAAGATCTTGGGGAGATTTTATGCCTCTCTTCTTTTCTCATATTTGCCAGCTCAAATGAAAATTCTGTTTGCTATTGCACTAAGAGCAATTTCCTAGAGAAAACAAACCTTCAACTTAAATTTAAATCACATTTGGAATTTTCCCATTATCTTTTCATTTTGCAAAATTCAGAAAGTAACTCACATAAAGTAAGCGTGTCATCTGAAACTGCTTGTCTCTGTATCACTGAATGTCTGAATTACTTTGTTAATTCATAATAGTGCTATCCACCTCTTCTATGCAGAAATGAAGAAAAAGGAGTGACTCTTACATGTTCCTTACCCGATGGTTCAAGATAATTAGACTATAATGTGCACATTTTGAGTCATACAATATTTTTCATAATAATTATATGCTATGGAGACATCTATTAAAAGCCTAAAGTGATCATTTAAATGCAAAATCTCTGATAGAACTCCATTATACTTTTCATACTAAATTAACATTACAGGCTTCTAATGGATGTTTTAATTAGGCATTGATGTTATCAGCAATATTTGGCAAAATAAAATCTGTCACTGCAAAATATTCATTATGTTCAATTTCCGTCAGTCAATATTAAATGTTTTCTGAACCTTGTGATTTAAGTAAGAAGCTAAAAGCTAAGTGAGAAACTAAAAATCCCAAGACAAACCTCCTTCACATGAGCCATACGAAAATAAATGGTCACTGGGCATCTTTTGAATTTCATAAGTGCCAAACAACCAGCTTCTTTTTAGTCATTTACACTCAGAGGCACTCCATTAGAAGGTTGTCTTAATTCTGTAGCGAATGAAAAACAAAAGGTCTTTCCTAATTGAAATATACATCTTTTGTGAAGCAACTCAAAGGAAATGTGTGTGTGTGTGTGTGTGTGTGTATTCGCGTGCACCATTAAAAGAATTCCACGGTCAGTCAGGAGCAAGAGGAGCCAATCAGAAAGGGTCAGGGAATCAACTAAGATGCAGAGACGGAAGACAACTGCACAAAAGGCAAGAGCAGTGCATGAGGTGAACAGTTGCAGGCCGAGGCAGAGCTATGCTTGGAAAGAAAGCCGAGGTGCTTACCAGTAATTTTCCCATTGGCTTCCAAGGGAGGCTGCCAGCTCACAATGACAGCGCGAGGCTTCCCTTCCCGGGTAATGACTGTCAGATCTTTGGGAGCAGAGGTCGGGGCTGCAAGATGAGACAGAGACAAGGCCTTGTCATTGGATGTGAAAGAAAACAGACATCAGTGAGACTTTTAATCATGATGGTGACACTCAGGACCTATCATGAAGTGTATCATGTTTATTTTGCCATTTACAATTTATTTCAAGGATTTGAACTAAATAAGCAAACATGGATATAAAAATCAATGATTTTTTCCCTGGAAGTTAAATGATTGCAACTGTATGATTAGAGAAAGGAGAAGAGAATACGCGTGATACAACTGATAGTTTCAAGTGGGCTCATACTTAAAATGTAAGAATCATAATAAGAACAACGAAATGTATACATACTTAGTGAAATTGAAGACTATATATCTTTAAGAGAAAGAATTCTGTTACAACACTAGGATTTATAAATAAAAATATCTCCTAATTCTATATTTCCTTAAAAAATAAAAACTGAGTTAAAACTCAGGACAAAACATCTTGCTTAGGTGACATATTAGCTATTCTAAATAAGAAGGCAAAAGTGAGAAACAGAAATAGAGAAGGTGAAAAAAATCTATGAGTATCTTAGTATCAATCTGCCATGAAATAAGATGGCATGAAACTCTGTCCCTCTTAGAGCTACTTTTCCCATACGTTGTGCTCAAGGGAATTTTAACTATATTTTAAAGGTGGCAGCAAACTGGCTGGGCCAGCCCAGCATCTTCCAGGCTTCTTCTGACCTGCATTCTCACTGTCTATGCATTGAAAGACAGTTTTCCTTCTAGAAAGCTCACAAAGCTCTGAGTCTATTATCAAGAGTCTCTTTGTCACCCTTAGTTTGCCATATGAAGATTCTGAACACATTTGGGCTCTGTGCTTGGGTCCTGGGGGAATTTCCTGGTCTCTACATAGGAATGCTGTGTATCACAAGATAGGCAGAACTCAGTCTCTAATTCTGAACTCCACTCTCTTTGGTTCTTCTGTTGGTAGGATGGGGCAGAATCTGTGCATTATCAATACTCTTTTTCCAGTTTCTCTTCCCAGAGTTTGAAATATGAGGCAAATAGAGGAGACACTAATCATTTCCATCCCTCATACCATTTTCTTTCCAACACCCTGATCCTCAAAGCCACTGGGATTCCAGGTTAACCCAAACTGCACTTAATTTTAATACCTTAAAAAAGTACTTTATTTATTTACATTTCCAAAAACAAAAGAGGAGGAGGAGGACAGGGAGGAGAAAGAGAACTAGAAGAAGAGGAGGAGGAGGAGAGGAAGAGGAGGAAAAAAAAACATAGGTTATGTGTAGTTGATCCCTGAATAAAGAGACTACATATGTACGGTTTAATGAAACCAGATCAGGGTGCTCTTGGGACAAAAGCAGATTTGTTACAGCAAAATACCAAAGAGGTAATGCTACCTTGAAAAAGGGCTAGTCTCACAAAGAGTTCATTCAAGATATTTTCTAGACCATGGATAGGAAGGTAATATATAGTCATAAACTAACTTAGATTAATATAACAGACATAATAAGGAACTTTCCAATTATGGAAATAATTAAAAGATCTGTTTTTTCTCAACTAGTCAGAATAGCCTCTTTTTTCTTAACTGTGTTAAAATTCAAATTGATGTTTATTTAGAAAGCAGTCAAATGATGATGATTAGATTGCTTCACTGAATCTGTAATGGTATTTAAAAAGGACAAAATGACTCTTCAACTTTAGCTATTAAAATAATACATCGAAGAGTTGATTATTAAAAAAAATCTAACAACTAATCTATTTCAGGTACTGTTCAAGTTCTTCTTTTTTCTCAAGCCATGTGAACACTGGTAAATAGAAATTCTATTAATAGTATGGGAATTAATGGCCCAAATGTTTAGGATTATCATATGACCTGCACATTGTTCCCTAAGATTTGGGAAAAAATATGGCCCTGAAAACTCCAGTGATGCCTACTAAGTCAAGCAGAACACCTCTGGCACGCTCCTCCTCAAATCAGGAGTTCTGCCTGGAGTGATTTTTTAGATATTATTCGTTGACTACCCATCCTCTTTGTGTTACACAGAAAGAAAAATAAGTACTAGACCTTCTAGAGTTTATACTGTACTTTCTTTCATATCCCCTTTCCCCTTATTGTCCCATGAACACTGTGCTCCAGTTGCTTTGAGCCAATCAAAAGTGTCTCTTGAACACATCATCTTTCTGACACCTACTGAAGTGTTTTTTTGTTTTGTTTTGTTTTTTGTTTTTTTGAGACAGAGTGTCACTCTTTTTGCCTGGGCTAGAGTGAGTGCCATGGCATCAGCCCAGCTCACAGCAACCTCAAACTCCTGGGCTCAAGCAATCCTTCTGCCTCAGCGTCCCAAGTAGCTGGGACTACAGGCATGTGCCACCATGCCCAGCTAACTTTTTCTATATATTTTTAGTTGTCCGATTAATTTCTTTCTATTTTTAGTAGAGACGGGGTCTCGCTCTTGCTCAGGCTGGTCTCGAACTCCTGAGCTCAAACAATCCGCCCGCCTCGGCCTCCCAGAGTGCTAGGATTACAGGTGTGAGCCACTGTGCCTGGCCCTGAAGTGTTTTTGCGCATGTGGTTTTCTACCCTTTGGAAGTTTCTCTAATGGGTGCCTGATGGCTTACTCAGGCCATAGCTCAAATATCACTTCTTTTCTTAAACCTTCCCTTATTTTTCCAGACAGATTGTGTACTTTGATCTATTAGCTCTGATTTCAACTTGCCCCAAATGTTATAATTATTAATGTTTCTCATGTTACTTCAGTATTTTTTTTAAGTATTTTCCTCTTTACTGGATTAAAATTCTCTCAAAGATACAGACTACATTCTCCTCGCCTTTTACACCAAGTGCCTAACTCGAGGCCTGACAATGATAAATGAACATTGTTGAAAACCCTTAATCTTTGTCTCACTAGACAAGACTTCTCTCTGATTTCTCTGGCTCTTAAATAATTTTTCTCACACTTGTTTTTCTTTATTAAGTACACGAATAGAAGGTAATATTCCAGATTTGGAAGATTGCATCCATAAAAACTGTACTGGGCATTTGTTACTTGGACTTGCCAGCATCTCATTCCCTCCTCTTTCTTTTAGAGAAACACTTGGTTTCTTCCTTTGGCAAACAAGCTCTCCTCTGTGTCATGTGATTTTTGTAGCAACATCAATTGGGAACATTATGGTCTTCATTTCATCTTCTCTTTAGCTGCGTGATCACCTATCTAAAGAGATTCCAATAAGATTCTCTCTTCTAGGTCATTGAATCTTGGTGCAAGAAAGGAAAACAGGCAGAGTCAAACCATTGTGATGGCAGCATCTTGAAGGGACAGACCAATGGTTCTTTCATTTCTAAAACCTGGTAGTAATAGTGTCAACTCTTGCCCCTCTCCAAGGCCTAATTACTTAAGATGTCCTTCCTATTATTTTTATTTTGTGTCAATTAACCAGAATAAAATGAGGGATTTATCTTCGGGCCAGAATGAAATGTTTTATTTCAAAAGAATGACAGTCACCCTTGTCTTTCTCACGAGCCATTTCAGGATACAACAATGTAGCCCCATACAGTCTTGATCTTATTGCAGAATTGGAAGCAAATCCTAAAGTTATTTTATTCACTTCATTTCTTTCTCACAGTTATAAAATCGGCAGACACTTGTGAATTACTTCTTGCTTCTCATCATCACCCAGGGATCTTATTCACATGCTATTTACACCTTTGTCCAGATTATTATCTGATTTGACAATCACCTTTTCTACTAACCACATTTCTAAAAGTTAATATCTTTTCATCAGCAATGGGTCTCACCGTTGGTGTCTGTGCAAGGCTAGGCAGTTGATGAGAAATCCATAGGGTGCATTTATCAAGTCAGATGCTGGTGTGTACTTTATGTTCATGAAAGGGGAAAAATGAATGAATTTGCTTGCATTAAGATGAAAGTACTACTTCTACTCTTTCACTTGGGGAAGACCAGCTTTCTTTCTGGTTCTCATTTTAACTACATTCATCTCCTTTCAAGTACTAGGGAAGAGAAGACTCTTTATTCTCCCCCACAATATGTGACTCATTCCCAGCTAGTCTTATTCTAAGAAGCTGTGAACACTGGCATCTGGGACAGAATTCTGAGAGGAAGAGCTAATATATGTAAAGCACGTAAAGTATAAGAAGAGGATGTTAAAATTAAATTAGGCCAACTAGAAATTTTTGGTTGAAAGAAGTACCCATAAATATATGAAAATACTCACAGTAGAACTCCAATAGTTAAGATAATAACATAAAATAAAAATTAGAACTGCAATGCTGTGGGACAAATTCTAATGCAAAGAGAAATTCAGCTTACCCAGAGAAGAGTTTTGTTGGCATAATTGTTTTTTTAATTTGAAAATATGTGCTGTAGTTTACACACAGATATGATATATCATGAAATCAATTAAAAAGCATGTTAAACCCTGGATTCTTCAGATGTTGGATTTCTGTGAACTATAAATGCCAAGTATACTGCATCCTTGGTAAGATAATAAACTCTACGTTTATGATCCATAGTAAATGTAACTGGTAAAAATTACAGTGAATTGCATTACCCTAGATTTGAACTATTTTAAATTGGATAAAGGTTTTCCATTATGTTGCCCCATTCCCAAAGAGCGAGCAAGGCCACCTAGAAACTTCTCGTATCCAGCTGAGATTATTCAGGGTAAATATTCATGAGACTTCAATTGTAATGCAATGTTTTATTTTATATCTAATTTATTTCAAAATAGCAAATACCTACTATGACTATTATTTAAAGACACAACTGTTTTGGACAGAGTTCAAAGATGGATTTCTGACCAGGCACTGTCTATGGCTCAAGCCTGTAATCCTAATACTCTGGGAGCCGAGGCTGGAGGATCGGTTTAAGTCCAGCCTGAGCAAGAGTGAGACCCGTCTCTACTAAAAATAGAAAAAATTAGCCAGGCCTTCTGGCACAGGCCTGTAGTCTCAGCTACTTGGGAGGCTGAGGCGGGAGGATCACTTGAGCACAGAGGTTTGAGGTTGCAGTGAGATATGATGCCACTGCACTCTAGCCTGGGCAACAGAGCCAGACTCTGTCTTAAAAAAAAAAAAAATGGATTTCTGCTCTTTACTTAAATGTATTAAAAAGACATATCTTCAGATACCCTGAGTTAACACCCTAAAGAAGCCATGTAATAATCATGCAATCAGATTACTTAATCCATTGGAGACTCATTTTCTTCTTTTCTAGAGTAAGGAGAATATTATTAGATATAAATACATAAATAGTTCTAGGAACTACTAAGGATACAATATTTTATATAGAATAAGGTGTAATTGAGACATTATGGTGCACACATGTTTAAATTTCTGCAAAACCTGGGAAAAACCATTCCCAAATGTTAAAAGTAGACATTTCCTCACATACCTGCTTCATACGTGGTGGCGTGCGCAGTCATGCTCCATGTGCTGGACCTTCTGTTTTTTGTTACCATGACCGAGAATTCATACATTGTGTTTGGTTTGAGGCCTGTTGCCGTGTAACTTAGAGATGTTGTGTCTTCTGACTATACAAGAAGGAAATAGCAAAGAGATAAAAAATGAACTCTATCAACTTGGTAAATCAAGACATGTAAAAAGACTATCAAATAAGCCAGCAAGAAAGGAATCTACTTTCAAACAGCAGAATAGCTAGGGCACAGCACTGATTCTACTTCTCTTCTATCAACTAGTTTACACTGGCTGATTAGACATACAAAACATGACCAATAAAATCAGGTATTATATTGTCCAAAGGGGCTGCTAACGGATAAATTTTCCTAACTGAGGCAATAACTGCAGCAATAGGACAAATTTCCCCTTCTTCTGTCAACTCCATTTTTGAAGTTGTCTGTATCTGCCTTAAATTTATTTATAATATAAATC